CACACACACGCACACACATAAAAGGTGTGTATTTGGTACATGAGTACATTGTATTCAGCACATGTGCAATATTGTAATATAGGAATAATATAGGGATCTTCTGATCATATATACAGATTATTTTTGTGTTTCTTCTGGCCAATGATATGGACATAACAAAACTCTAGTTTCTGCAATTATCAGGTTAAAATTAGTCACATATTCATTCATAACATGCATGTGGTCCCTTGTTCGCAAGTTACTACTAGTTATTTCTCTCAAAAGTAATGGAATTACTTTTTAGTGACAAGGTAAAGTAACTTTTCCGTTACTTTTAAATGTCTCCTTCAATTCTCTTATTAATGCACAGAGCTCACGACCACCAGAGGGCATCGACGAGCAAGCTGCACTTATTGTCTTGGTTAGTAGACGGAAGAATTCGGTAGAAAAAGACTCACGTGGACATTAACATTAACCGAGCTTTGCTGAACGGACTGAGCTGTCTTGGGCCACTGTCTCCTGCAGTTGTCCACTGTTTTCAGGTAAGACAATTGTAACAAGTATTTGAGTTATTTAATTTTAAAATGTAATTAGTTACCTCCAAAAGTAGTGGAATTACTGCAACACACTACTTTATAACACGTTAATCCCGACACTGAGAATGACTCACCTTTAATATAAACAAACAATATTAATAAATTCATGCTTGTGCAGCAAACCAAAGCAAAGAGGTCACACTCTGGTCTGAATGGATCAATAAATCAGTCGACGCATCAGTTGGTCAATTGGTGGAAATATGAGTGAATAAATACTGGACGGCCACAATGAGAGGATGACCCGATTCTTTCATGCCTGCCCCCTCCCCCATCCTCCTCCCTGAGGGAACTCCAACATGTTTGACATCTTGATGAAGCGGAACGACCCAAAAATAACCATCTGAAGGGTGTTTTTCATAACACAAACAACTCATGGGCCGCGCCCCTGTCTGTGCCCTGAGTTTGGTCCGATCCATCTGCTACATCTCAGTCTGACAATGGCCGAAGTTCTTATCTCAATTCCTGTGTGCTCTGAGCTCTGCGAAGGATTTATATACTATTCACAATTCAAGTGCAAACGTGGAAAGAATGTATGAAAAAGTGCCGATGAGATCAGGAAGTTTAACTAAAATAACTAGACTTCAAATCGACAGAAGTTAACATATATGAATACTCCAAAAAGTTGTTTTGATTGCATTTATTTTGTGCAGTAGGCTATTTTAAGTTTGAGTGATTTAATTCCAGTTGACTTAACAAAAATGTCAGCCCCACTGATTAGTGCTATAACGCTGTATAGCTCAGGATTTCAGTGTAATAATCATCAAATCCCCATTTATGCATCCAAATAATTCTAAAAAAAAAACCAAAGTGTAAAGATTTTATTATACATTATACATTGTTTTTATCGTCCATTAGCTGTTTTGACAGGTAATGTAATAATTTGCTTTAGTGGAAGAAAACTGAGTAAATTCAGCTTGGTGGTAACATTTGTATAAAGACGATTAAAGAACTTCAATTAACTGAATGGAATTTGTACAAATTAACTTAATTTACCCGTGTTATCTTAATAATAAATATTTGATTAACTGTTATTCAAATATCTTTTCATGCTTAAATTGTTTGAGTTAATAAACTTAAATGGTTTGAGTTGAACTAACTCATTAGGTTTGAGAGTGCAATGAATGATTCAGGGGAACACCAGAGTTATTAAAATGTATCCTGTGGGGAACAATAATATCTGTACCAAATGTCACGGCAATCCATCCAATAGCTGTCGAAATATTTCACTCAACAACCAATGACAGCCTCATTCAGGGTCAAAGCCATTATGATTCAGCCTCTGTGGACAATAAACACTTCAAAATCATGTCAATTAATCCACTAACTGTTGAGATATCTCAGCTTAGTAGACCTCACTAACAAAAAGGACATTTATGTGTCAAAAATGATTATTTATTAATTATTTATTTTGTCCAATAAAAATGACAATTGGCAGGTAATTTCTGTATTTTTACTGCAACACTGTCACCGGATGGACAAGTTCACACACACAGCAGTAAATACCTGTTTCTACCCATCTTCTCATGGTCTTTGACGACACAGTGCAGCTCTGCTCCAGAGTCCAGAGGAATCCCCTTCAGGTCCCATTCAAATCCCTGACAGAACCAGGACAGGAAACAGAATTAGAAGAAAATGGATTTTACAAGAAATAAAAGAGGTTGGAGAGGTTCAGGTAGCCAAACAGCGCCAACAGGAAGGGTCGTCATTTTACTGTAAGTGAGGTAAATACATTTATCTAAAAGAGGCACTTGGTGTAGGCCGTATCCTTTACTTTAGTAAAAGCACTGCCTGAAATGGGCCTGTACTGAGTTCCAGCAAGGTAGAAACCTTTACTTCTTATGGTGTACCAGGAGCTCTGGTGAGCATACCCACCACTGAGGTGACCAAGGTTTTGGACTTTCCTCATTTTTCCAAGTAGTATACAATAAAAGTTGTGAAATAATTGCCTAAAAATAACTTTACTTTGATGCTTCGATGCATATCCTCCTTTCTAAAACCCTGTGTAGAGCAATGCTGGTGAGGTACTCCTAAACACCTTCGTAACTGCGTCGTGTGTAAACTGATAGCTAACTTAATGCTGATAAAACAGCGCTGAAGATGTACTAGTTAAAATAGATAAAAATCAGCAAAGGAATTATAGGTTAGGGTGATGTTTGTGCTGAATTAGGGTACTGACACCTTTTTTGGTCCAATT